GCAGTCAATCCAGCATCAGCTGTATTTTCACCTGGCATTCGTTTATGACGAATTTTTCTTCTTTCAATGGTCAATCCACATGTTTCACATTGATTCTTGCCCACTTTAAGTGCTTTTTGACAGGACTTTTCACGCGATTCTATCAATTTCTCTTTCAAAGAATCAAGATCAGCAGCTGCTTCTCTAAAATTCATTTTGGGTCCTGAAGACGTTTCTGCACTCGATTGATAAATGATAAAAGATTTCTCCAAAAATGCAAAAGTACAAGAAAATCAAACGTAAGCATGCGTTGCAGAATATTATTAGCACCACATTTTGTTTCGGCCGTGTTGCCATTCTCACGTAATTGCTCTAACAGTCCTAGCAATTCATTCAGTTTTTCATGTACAACTTTTACTACCTTTTCTCTTGCACTCCACCCTGTGTCTGATTCACACTTGACAGAGATCTTAAGCTCAGTTCGTCCCATCGAGTTGTTGAATGAGCAAAGAAATTATAAATGACTTCAATTATACCAAAAAAGGTAATAACTGTTGTTTCCTGACTTGCAGCATGAAGACATGCTATGATTGTCACAGTCTATAAACACTGCTTTTGGATTTTTGTTCAGAATTCTTTGTTGAACGCCTGACAGATGACCTGACATGACAGCAGCATCATCATAACATTGTGAACAACAATCACTCAATAAAATTCCATCCGCTTCTAATGTTGTGCTTATTGTTTTGTCAATATTGGCAGCGTCTTTTTCCTTTATCTGCATAAAGTCAATAAATGACTCTTTGACTTCTACTTTTCTTGCCTTAAAGTCAATGTCAACAAACCGAATCACTTGGACCAATTGCTCACGATGGGCTGAATCAGGTGTGGAATCAAACGGAATACCATAGTATTTGTTTCTACGAACAATAATTCAAACCATTGACAAACAATAATTTCGCACATGTGAAGCCATAAAATTTATAAACTCATTTTGGATTTCAGTAGAAAGATAAGATGTTGACGTTTGCTTGTTTTTAACACGCTCTAAATGCTCTCTCATTACTGAATCATACTTTGCTAATAACTGCAAAAGTGACAGGAAATTTCCAGGGTTTTCGTTTGAGGTTATGTCCTCAGTATGACCACGATATGCAAGATTCTGAGAAGATAAATATTATGTACAATCCAGCAACCGTCACAGTACATCTCTCCATTTATTTTTTCTTGCTGAATTTGCCTTTGCAGCTCTTCATCAATGCCACTTTGAAGACGAATTCGGCGCTCAGTTTCTTTCCAAGCAGCAAATGACTCACGATGACTGTCACTATTTTCATGGGCATTTAACTTTTCAATTTTTCCACTTAGAGAATCCACTCTGTGTTTTGAAAGCAGACCGACTATCGTATGTTATACATGTAGATGAAAAAAGAAGACAACAAAAGCAGTATGCTGCTTTATGTAGAGGTGAATACACCAACCAGGAACGATTGACCTCTTATCCATTCAGAAGGCGTCGTTTGGACCGAAATGCAGTCATAGAACGCCCATCCTTGGCATCAAGTGAACCTTCTTTATGTTGAAATTCATGTGCTCCAAATTTAACAATCTCTGTGCGATGTGCATGTGTTACAACTGCTGAGCCTATTGTATCAAACTTCATAAATCCAATATTCCTGTGTGTTGAAATATTTGTTAGGTCATTAGCAACACTATTCAGTGGATTTGTTTATGACAAAGTGGAATCCTCTTGTTTATTATTATTATTGTAGCTTTCAACAGGTCAGAGAACAGTTTATTCGTTGTTTTCTTTTACAAATGAAATAGCATGTTCACAATCTTGCTCTTTGACCTCTTTGCTACCATCAAAAGGAACAGATGCTATCTTACTGGTGTCATCACTTCCAGCAAGAAAAGCTCTCATCAATTTGCTTGACTCTACCATCGAAGCTGCAACGTCTTGTGCACGTCTTTAGCGTCCCTGTTCCCCACTTTCTTTTTTCGACATAATGGGCTAAAAGAATAAATTAATAAATACTGACTATACTATTTAGTTGCAACATGCAACTTGTCAAATGAAAGGAAGCATTCTACTTTCCTAAGTTCCTAACCACAAATTATGTTTAAATTATACAATTATAGTTGTAACTCAGGATTATTTAAACACACCTGGACCTGATTTCACTTTAACTGCCATTATTTAGGCCACCCATACTCATGTTAATTAATGTGACACAACAGTAAGAAAATCAATGCTGATGAGTGTATATGCTGGTAAATTGTGCTTATGAGAACCATATAAATTACTGGCAGTTGCAAAATCACATTTAAAAACTCGATAGGTTTAACTACACTACCACTACAGGAGACAAGTCTGAAATTGCTCGAATGAAAATTACACATACTGTGGAGAAGAGTGTAATCATAACATAATATAAGCCTAGAGGTTCAAAGGCTATATTTAATATTAAAGGTTTTGATAGAATGAGAAAACTTAAATATAGGCTAACTAATTAGTGGTACTAGATTACAGTTTCTAGATTAAGTCGCTAGTACATCTAGATGTAACATTGATGTTAGACCTGTTATTTCCATCTTTTTAGTATTAGGTTTGGATCTAGATGGAATAATAATGACAGAAATTTAGCTTTATATATCTAAACTAGACCTTAAATTTGGGTGCATAGATTGAAAGCACCTTGTATTGAATCTACCCAGATCTAGATATAACCCCGCCTCATCAATTCTAGATTTAGATTTATTAGGCCTAGCTTTTAGAACAAATGTTACATCTAGATCTATTAATTTAGTCATTTAGATCTGTCCCAGTTGCAATGCCCAATT